TGACACGGGGCCGAGGGGATTGTGGAGCGGAGGGTGGACGGGAAAGCAGCTGTGACCACACAGGCTCGCCCAGGACATGCTGAGCACGCGGGTTCTGGGGCGCCATGCCCGCGAGGACATGCGCAGTGGACGGGCATCTGGCCGGGGCTGCCCCAACGTGGCTGGCCGCCCTCCCGTCTTACCTGGGCTGGGGAGGTGGCCGGCTCCCTGGGCTCCGTCTGGCCGGTCCCCAGAGCGGGCATCCCGGGCTCTGAGTGCAGGAGGGTGGAGGGGCTGGAGGGAGGTGACTCGGGTTGGCGCCAGGCCCTGGGGACACAGGAAACGAGTCTCACCCACGTGAACGGACACCAGCTGGCGGGCTGTAGAGAGTTCAGGAAGCACCGTCCTTGGTTATCCTGCGGTGAGCCGTGCGCTGCCACGTGGCGAGGCCCGGATCTCGCTGGGCGAGGGTGTTTGGGGGTTTCTATCAGCTCGCCACTCCCAAGCGCCAGGGTGTCCACACGTGACTTGTCTGGGGCGGGATCTCTCTCCCAGAAGCAACATGATTACAACGGGGTGTCTGCACAGAAAGTCAGAACCCGTGGCGTGGACACGGCGCACGCTCACCTGTGCTTGAGGAAGGATCTTCTGGAATGTCCTTCATGGTGTGTCGACCTGACTATTTACCTAAAAGGCTGGTAACACTTCCATCAAACGCCCTTTCGTAAGAGATTGCTTAAGATTCCAGTATCAAGCCAGACTCAAGTAAAGTCCTTGATCGTTTTAAACACCAGAAGGAAATACTCTTTCAGCCACAATCAGAACGAACTCAGCTGCCACTGTCCCCCGATAGGTGTCGGGGGCATCCCCGGAGAAAAGCTGGGCGGGGGAAGCCTGCGGCCGGCAGCCCCCGTCCAGGGCAGACCCCGCCCCCCCCCCCCCCGCCCCGGCCCCCCCCGGAAAAAAGCGGGGGGGGGGAAGCCCGCGGCCGGCAGCCCCCGTCCAGGGCAGCCCCCGCCCCCCCCCCCCAGGTCTGAGCCCTCCTCCGTAGCAGAACATCCTTCCAGCCAGACAGGGCAGCACTGCCCATCGCCGTCAGGAGGAATCCTCGACTGCTGCCGGAGCCGTGGCGGCGACGTGCGCAGGACAGTCGGGGTTTCTGGGAGTTTGGAGACGGCGCCGCCCCTCGGGCACTCAGCCCCCAATACCCAGAGCGGCTGCTTCATCTCCACTTCATTCCCGTGACATCAAAGTTACTCACGTTCTCTCAGCATTTTTCAAGGTCCCCTCCGGATCAACACACACCCACAAACACAGCTCAGGGAAATAGCCACATTTGTGTGCCATGAACGTGCTGGTCACGGTTTCTATTCAGTGAACAGTGACTTTTAACCGGTAGGATGCCAGCCGCCTGTTGCAAACGTAATAAGAGCAGAAGAATCAACTTAAACCGAATCAAAACAACAAATACAAAAGTCCTCTTATGGAGAAATCAGTTAAACAGTGATGATCCAGCAACGAAACCATCTGTGGAACTTAACTGCCAAGCCAAACGCTATCAGACTTGGGAAAGCAAGGAAACTCAGTTTTTCTCGGAGGCTCCAGAACCTTCCAGAAAGGACCTTCGGTTACGGCTCTGCACAGGCCGCGGATTTGCTGCATTTAGTTTGAACATCTGCGACCACCACCCCTTTCTTCTGCAACACTGCATGCCCGGCAGGCCACACTGACGCACTGCAGGGCTCGCCACCTCAAGACAAGGACGACGCAGCAGGGCCGAGAGCCCCACTCAGCACACCCCACACCACACAGCTGCCACCGTCAGACATCACAACGGGGACGTGCCCTCCCCCTGTTCCTCCAACCATGAGTCATGGCTACTGGGACGTCGGTCCTACGGGCCCCCCAATATCACAAAACGAAAGGCTCGGCCCTGGAAAAACCTTGTTAACAACCTGAGGAGCCTGGGGGCCGGAGCCAGGAAATAGCCCCCCCAATGCCCTCGAACCGGACCAGGGGCGAGGGACCCCCAACACAGCAGCGCAGGGCTCCCAGCTCCTTTCTGGGCGTCCCCAGAGGAAGTGCGCCAGGCTCTGCACCCACCGAGCTTGGGGGTGTCTCCATACTGGAGCCCGAGGGGCGGTGCCACTGCTTTGCCGTCAGTAGTGCCCAGTGTGAAGCCAGTTTTCTCCTTCGAATGTGTTTTTAGGTCCCCTGTGCTCCCCGGACTGGGGGTCGCCTGGGCTCAGGGCTCACGTCGCCACTGGGCGGCACCCAGGAGGGGTCTCCCCATCCTCACACTCCCGTTGGGCGACCCCTGACAACATCTGCAACTGAACGGAAACCGTGGCCCGTCCGGAAGCAGAGCGGTGGCGGGGGGTGAATGCAGGGGCTCTGGGGGGCCAGACGCTTTGTCGCATCTGTGCACAGAAGCCGGTGCCTGTGAACTGAACAGCACGGAGCAGATGCGCCCACGGGCGCTCCACAGGGGCCGCCCAGCCCCGGCTCAATGCAGGAAGGCAGCTCGCGGCCCCTGCCCACCTGCCCGCCAGGGACGGAACGCCTGCCACAGGGAGGTGACGGCACAATCTTGGAAAATAAAGTTCTTCCCTGGATATTTCCATTGCTCATTTTAGTGTATGCCCAGAACAGGCAGATTTTACTTAGGATGTCAGAAAAGAATGTTCTAAAATAACCCATTCCTCCAGCAAGCCCTTCAGGCTCTCTGCCCGAGGGAACATGGGAGCCCATGCCTGGCCCCCTGGACACGGCCCAAGTCACCAGCTCCCAGCCGCCAACTTCTCAACCCTCTCGTAAGGGCAGAGCTAACGAAAAAAGTGGGAAATTTAGAGTATTTACAGCAAAGAGGTTAAAACATAATAGAAATAACAAAATATCAAAACCCACTAGTCGACTTCACCCCGGGTTAGTCACAGACGTACTAAAAATAGAGTGGATGGGGTTTTATTCCCTTGCGCCCAGCTCCCTGTGAACTGCGAAAGGGGGCATGTGCGCGCACGGGGCCTGGGGACGTGCCCGGGGTGCTGCGGCTGCCCGACTGTGTGTCCACTGGGAACAGACCACCCGACGGGGTCACCGCTTGCCCTCTGACTCCGCCCAGCTGCCCCACCTGCTGCCAGGCCGGGTCTGGGCCTCTGCAGGGACAGGGCCGGAGGACAGAGGGGGGCCCTCGGAAGTGGAGAGCATCTCTCCCTGTGCCTCACTCGTCCCAGAGCCCCGCAGTCAGACCCCTGGCTCACGACTCACGGCCTGACCAAATGCGGGTACAACCGGTGCTTTCGGGCCACCCGGACCCCTGGCCCCATCCCTAGCACAGCTCTGCACAGAGCACCAAAGGCCTGGGGAACAGGCCTACCCCGGAGGAGAAGGCTGCCAGACGCGGGGACAGAAGAAACACCGAGAAACCGTCCCCCTCGTGACAACGCGGTTGAGCCACGGAGGAGCTGCTGCGCCTCCCGGGGCCTCTGACACGTGGGGTTCACTCCCACCAACTGGGAGCGTCCAGAAAGAGCCAGAACAAGTGTCCAGCCCTGCAGTTACACACCCAGCCTGCTCCTTCCACGACGTCCATGAAGCTGCCCAGCCGGCCCCTCAGCAGGACGTTCACCTGCGGACTCGCCGATTCTAAACCCCAGATACCGCAGATACCCCAGGACCACCTCGTCAAGCTACGAGATCATCACAAACCCAACAGTTTCTGCTGACAAGTTCAGGGTTTGAGCTGAGCAGGAAATGGACTAATATTGTGGAGCGTTTATCAAACACACTTTGCTTACATGTCCCGCGTTTCACATTCACAACAACTGTGTAAGTGACTATTGCTATTCCCATTTCTCAGATGCAAAAAATGAGGCCTAAACGTATTTCTTAAAGTGTGTCCAGCCTCGGGGGATTCACCCCTGGGTCTGGCTTTCACAGCCAAGTCCTACAACCGCCCTGGCATCCCACCTGCCTCGGACTCCGCACAATAAATGAAGAGAATGTGATGCTGTTCTCCACGGTCAGACTTTATTAGCCACAAGCAATTTTCATCACGAATGCTTAGGATATTTTAGTGCTCGTGAAAACAAAGTCGTGAAAATATTGTTCTTAAAATTAGAGTAAAAATTAAAGACACACTCCCCAGACCCCCAACACTGGCTGCAGTTTTTCCTTTGCTTCCTTCAGCGGTGCTCAGGGACCCACACACAGCCCCGCCAGCCGTACACGCTTGGACCGCAGGGCCCTGGGACGGGGCCCTTCCCACGCCCTCTGCACTCAGAGCCGCCTGTTTTGGAGTGTGTCACTCTGCCTCGAAGAGGGAAACGGGGCCACACCCAACTCTCCCTCACAGACACCAACCCAACAGAGCGTTTCTCTCGGGACGCCGGAGACATGGTCACGCTGCCCCAGGCACCCAGGACCCGGGCACCCAGGATGAACGATGCTGAGAGCGCCCGAGCCAAGGGGGAGTGGCGCCCTCGCAGGCCGGCGCCCGGGGGCCCTCGGCCAACACTGCGGTACCTCACCTGCCTCCTTAGGTTACTGGGTTATTTGCTCGTGAGCAACTGGAATTTAGCTGGAGACACTCAAGGTGTAAACACAACACCCAAATCCTTTCTAAATCTCATGTGCCAGCAGCACTGCCTGGTAGAAAGCGAGGATCTGCAGCCTGGCCACGCTCCCCAGGCAGGATGAGTCGGCACAGGCAGGGGGCGAGGCCAGCAGAGGGAGCCCGAGCCCGTCACGTCCCAAGGCCTCCCCAGCGCAGGGGTCCCTGTCCCAGGCCCGCACGGCCCAGCACTTGTCAGCTCACTCAGGGTTTAGGGTTAGATGCCTCGGTTTCAAGTATGAACGTTCGCACAAGCACTCGGCCGCTTCCCTCCCGGTGCCCCGACAGCGCTGCCTCCTCTCCGAAGGCCCCTCGACCGCCACGACCCACACGAATGCACCCTCAGCCGTCCCGTCGCGGGCTGAGGCGCGTCACTCCCACCCACACTGCGCGCCCGCCTGGCACTTACAGGACAGGGAGTGGGTGCCCTTGGGCAGGTACTCCAGCAGCAGGGAGCTGTCATCCGCCAGCACGTCGGCCTTGAGGGCCAGCAGGCTGTTCTTACTCATAAGCGCCGCCCGCAGGTTGGCCACCGCGGTGGCCTGGTGCAGCGCGTCGTCCTTCTCTGGGGTGAGGGGGGCTCCCAGGTAGCTGCCTTCTCCTCCCAGGAGCCCCTCGTCCACATGCGCGTAGAGCTCGGGCCTCTCCCCGCGGCTGTCCGAGCTGCTGGCTTCAGCGACGGTCAAGTCCGCGTCTGGGGAGGGAAACACATGTTAGAGACCTCGCCCGTGACTCAGGACCCTCCGAACAGCAAGCAGGCAAGTTTAGGAGAAGCCGGAGCCACAAGCGTCCTGAACCCCAGCGGCCTGGCCTCAAGCCCAATCCCGGCCTGCCACGAAGTCCCAGGACAGTGGTGACATCACAGTCAAGACCTCGCGTGGGGCTCAACCCAGAACCCGGGGGCGGGGTGGGCGCCTACCCAGGACAGGGGGTCTGCTCCGGGGATGAACATCTGGGTATTTTCATCCCTCAGAGAAGGGGCAACACTCAAAATGGATCAAAAAGCCCAAACTACACAACTCTTAGAAAACCCCCACGGCCTCAGGCTGGGCCACGGGTTCTCGGCTGTGACACCAAAAGCACAAGCACTGAAACAGATTAAACTGGACTTCGTCAAACATTAAACCCCTGAAGGCCTCAAAGGACACCATCAACACAGTGAGAGGATGCGTGGGAGAGAATATCTGCAAACTGTACGCCTGACACGAGAGCCCGTCTAGACACTACAGAGGACTTTATGGCTCCATAAAAAGACAAACACCCCAGCTTAAAAGTGGGCAAAGGACATGAACAGATATTTGCCCGAAGAGGACACACAAACGGCCAGTGAACAGTGCTCGACACCATTCGTCACCAGGGAAACGCAACTCAGCGCCAGGACGTCATTCCCACGCCCTCTGGGACAGCTGCCACCCACAAGTGCCAACGGGACATGGGACCCTGGAGCCCCCCGGGCTGCTGGTAAAGACGTAAAATGACGCGGTCACGGTGCAAGAGCTTGGCGGGTCCTCAGAAAGGTGGACACCAAGTTGCCACGTGGCCCGGCATTTCCACTGGTGGGAGGACGTCCAAGAGGGGTAAGACCCGCGTCCACGCTCAGAGCAACGGCACCTTTGACAGTCAGAAATGGAGCAGGGCTTCCCTGGTGGCGCAGTGGTTGGGAGTCCACCTGCCGATGCAGGGGACGCGGGTTCGTGCCCCGGTCCGGGAAGATCCCACACGCCGCAGAGCGGCTGGGCCCGTGAGCCATGGCCGCTGAGCCTGCGCGTCCGGAGCCTGTGCTCCGCAACGGGAGAGGCCACAACAGTGAGAGGCCCACGTACCGCAATAAATAAATAAATAAATGAAAACTGGGTTTGGTTAAAAAAAAATAAAATAAAAAAGAAGTGGGGCCTCCCTGGTGGCGCAGTGATTGAGAGTCCGCCTGCCGGTGCAGGGGATACGGGTTTGTGCCCCGGTCTGGGAGGATCCCACGTGCCGCGTAGCGGCTGGGCCCGTGAGCCGCGTAGCAGCTGGGCCCGTGAGCCGTGGCCGCTGAGCTTGCGCGTCCGGCAACGGGAGGGGCCACGACAGTGAGAGGCCCACATATCGCAAAAAAAAAAAAAAAAAGAAGTGGAGCAGCCCAAACGCCCACCTGCCAATGAAGGATAAACACAGAGGAATATGATTCAGTCGTAAAGAGGAACGACGCACTGGCGCAGCCTACGAGGCGGACGGACCTTGGACACGTTACGCCCGGTGAAAGGGACAAATACTGTCCGAGTGCACTCACGTGAAATACCTAGAAAAGGCAAATCCACGGGGACAGAAGGAGACTGGGAGCTGCCAAGGGCCGGGGGAGATGGAGGGGGCGGGTCTTGGGGTGACTGTTAAGGATGCAGGTTTCCTTCTGGGGCAATGAAAATGTTCTAAAGTCGACTGTGGTGACGGCTGCACAGCCCGGTGAATAGATTAGAACCCAGCGAATCACACACTTTAAATGGGTGAGTTGTCAGCAGTGTGAATTACACCTCAAGAAAGCTGCTACTAACAAGAGGATTTGTGACAACCTCTAGCTCAGGGCCACATAGGCAAGACCAGCAGCCTCCTGTACCATCTTGGCCACGGAGGTGCCCCCAGAACGGGCCGGCGCCAGACAGACCCCAGGGAGAGCTGCTGCCTGGCCAGGGCCCCCCTGGAAACAAGTGGTGACTCGAGAAATCGAAACAGAAATGGGAAAGCAAGACCATTCCCGAGAGGAGGGGAAGGCAGGCGGGGGAAAAGGGATGGGCCCCCCCTCTCCTCCCACCCCCAGGCTGTCTTGGGAGGGGGGCAGCGGGGGCACTGGTGGCGGAGGGAAGCTGGGCAGCCTCAAATGTGGGATGGGCCCGTGAGCCGGTCCCGGAAACGACAGGTCCCTCAGAACCCAGGGAAGCAGGGCCCAAGGCTGCGGAAATCAGAGAGACCCCGAACCAGCCAGAGCATCACGCCCGGACACAGCCTCGTGCACCTGGGAAGTGCGGCCAGCAGGTGCCAGGAGGCACCACAGGTGGCCCCATGTGGTGGTTCTATGGCTCCTCCCACAAACACATGCTTGGAGGTGAGCGGAGGGCGGTGGGTGGACCGCCCGCTCACAAAGCGCAGGACCCGGTCCACGGAGCCAGGTGTGCAAGGCAAGGACGGCGGGGGCCTGGGGCGCACGAGCTCCCCGCAGAGACCTGCACGCCAGGGTGGTGCTGAGCGCCGAGGCAAAGACACAGGAGGCTCCAGAAAGCTGAACTGAACATGAAGAGGGCGAGAGCCCGGTGATCCTCCCCAGGAGACGCGGGAGGACAGAGGGCCCCCTCCGTCCTGAAGGGGCTCAGCCAGCCTGCCCCAGGACGGCCCCCAGAGGGCAGAGCGACTTCCGTGACAAGGCCACTCTTTAGCCGCCTTGATGGGTACACGAGAAAACTCAGACCTAGCCTGCTTCATGGTGCACCTTCGTTTTGGAGGAAATTACTCGAAGCTGCAGAACCAGAGGGCACGGAGGCAAGAACCACCATCAGCCAATCCACCAGACTCACCCAAAATGCCTCAGACAGCTTTCACAGAACAGTTCGATAATTGCAAGAGATTGGATTTCTGACTGTGGTCCTTGGACAGGAGTCAGGATCAGAACCGAAGAGCCAGGATAGGCGGTGCCAGGAGCCAGGGCCCCAGGCACCCCGTGGACACATGGCCACTGACCGATGTTTGCAGACACTCCCGAACTGGAAGGGCACATTTGTCCACGCAAGGTGCATAGGAACTGGGTTTTTGGGTGTGGGGAGGGCCCACCTCAGCAGAGCCCCTCAGGTGTCAAGCGCCCTGGGGGCACTGGGACCCCGGGGAACAGGCTGAGAGATCACAGGGGCCCTGACCAGGGGCGTCACGTCCCACAGGGCAGCACACCCTGGGTGCCACCACCTGGATGGGTCTAACCTCTCCCCAAGGATACGAGACACTAAGGACACCGTTGAGGTGTAGCATCAGGCTACTGCTGACCGAAGCTCCGGAAGGATACTTTCTTTTTTTCAAACTATAAGCCTTTTCATATTTTTCTGCCAATTCCTAAATGTTATATCAGCACTGACTTTGCATTTCTAGCCACTAAGTGTAGGGATTAAATCAAGTTGAAGTGAAGGCTTTGCCTCTGTCTGCACGGGCTCCTGTAAGACTTAAGCAGTTCTCAGTTCCGGGGCTGGAAAGGCCAGGATCTGGGTCCAGCAGGGCCCTGTTCCTGGTGGAGGCTGCTTCCTGGCTTGCAGACGGCCACCTCCCCGCTGTCCTCACCTCGGTGGGTGGGCAGACGGAGGGCAGGCTCTGATGCGACGCAGATGCCGAGGGCCTCCGTTTATCCTGACGACTGTCTCACCGGCCCCATCTCCAAATACAGCCACACCAGGGTTAGGGATTCAACATATGAATTTAGGGGACACAAACATTCAGCCCATAACACACTGAAAACTAAAAAACACCAGATTTCAAAACCAAAATTTTAATGCAATTATATTAACAGTTTAAGTTCAAAAGCGTGTAAAATAAATCAAGATTAGCTGAAAGACTCCAACCACATGTGAAAAGCTAAAAGTTGGGTTTCAAAGAAGGATGTCTGGGGTCTGTTACTGACAACTGCCGTGAAACGAGGGGCCGGGGCACCGGCAAGCACGGGCCACAGACACACGTCGTGGGTCGACGCTCTGAAGATGCTCGTGGGTGAGCGGTGAGGGTCCACGAGATGTAGGGTGACAGTGAAGGGAATGAAAGCCGTCGACTGAAAAATTCCCACCTGAGTATTTATGACTCAGGAAAGGTACCACCGTCCGGGGAATCAAGACCAGACGCACCTGTGGGGCTGTCAGGCTACTTGCGGTCACTCAGTGACCTAACCTAGAGCCCTCGCGGGTCCAGTGAAGAGCCAGCTGCACAGCCCCGAGCAGCTCGTGACAGGACACGCAGACATGCTCTCAGCACCTGAGTGCACCCTCCATCTCCCAAGCCTTGCGGTCTGTCTGCTGAGCACCCAGGTCGAAATTCAAGCCCCCAATTCTGGAAACAGCACTTGGGACGTCTCCCAGTACAGGGATGATACCAGTCAAACGGAGCTTGGAAGGAACTGGTCATTCTGAAGACGAGAGTTGTGAAGGAGACCAGAAGGGCTAAGGGGACTTGACGTCATCTTGATGGGCCGGGCACACGCACAGCACGGCCTAGGGCGCCCCACGCTGGCCCGGGTGGGCTCCTGCGCTCACTCTGGCATCCACTTTGGAGGTGCAGGGAGACCCAGTTTCCCCAGAATTTCTTGTTCAAATGAGAAAGCGGAGGAAAGTGCCCAGAAGGGAGAGGGTGTGAGGCCCACCCTGCGCCCTCCCAGGTCCTGAGCCTCCTGCCGGGCAGACAGGCTGGGAGCCTGGCCAGGGGCAGGGGGCAGGGGTGGTGCCTGGGGGCACCGGCCAGGCGCCAGGAGAGAGAGCGGGTCCTTCCCAGGCCCTTGCAGACCACAGCCTGACTTCAAAAGGAGGGATTAAGACGATGAGGTCACAAACGAAATTCTACAAACAGAACAGGGAGTTGAAAGCAATAGTTAACATTGCAACAAATCCTTTCATAGATAAAGAGTTTGATGTTACATAAAGCCACAAAATAGGTTCTTACTAGATTATTGTTATCAAAAAACTAAAACCATTCCAAATA